CAGGACAGAAATGACAAGCGAGAGAAAAGACTGAACGAGGGGACATTTTTGTTTGTTAATCCTCACGGGAGGGTATTTTTTCCGTTGATTTTTAGGGAGCGTGGGGCGGAGGGGGGGGGAGGAAGGGAGGGAAGGAGGGAGGCGGGGGAGAGAGAGAGAGAGAGAAAGAGAGAGATCGATCAATTGGTTGCCTCACCACACACCCCAATCAGGACCGGTCCGGAGATTGAACCTGCAGCCCAGGTATGTGCCCTTGTTTGATCCCCAGCCTTGGTCGGGGCATGTGCCAAGGCAACCAATCGATGTGTCTCTCTCACATCAATGTTTCTCTCTCCCTCTCTCTTTCTCACTCTCACTCCCTTCCTTCCACTCTCTCTAAAAATCAATGGAAAAAATACCCTCGGATGAGAATTAACTAAAATAATAATAGTAATAATAGATGACAGAGCCCTAACTGGTTTGGCTCAGTGGATAGAGCATCGGCCTGCAGACTGAAAGGTCCCAGGTTCGATTCCAGTCAAGGGCATGTACCTTGGTTGCGGGCACATCCCCAGTAGGAGGTGTGCAGGAGGCAACTGATTGGTGTTTCTCTCTCATTAATGTTTCTAACTATCCCTCTCCCTTCCTCTCTGTAAAAAAATCAATAAAATATATTTTAAAAAAATAATAGATGACAGAACTTGCATTACAATATTTGATTTTCAGAAACGGATTTGTGGTGACACGCAGATAACTACTGAGCATTAATATCTAAACATATAACACTCAAACGTAAGACAAGGAAGCTACAGAACTCATCTCACTTTAAAGTATCAACCCTCAAATCCTACATAACACATTAACAAACAGAACCCAGCACCACATGAAAAAATAGATATGATAACCATGTGGGGCTTAAGATCGCAAAGACAGTTCAATATCAGAAAATCCATACTATGACCCCAGGTTGTGGGTGGTCTCTAGGGACGATGAAAGGCCTTCAGGAAATTTAACATCTGCAGACAATATACTTAATGGAAAAGGAACTGATGGATCCTGTGACATGATTTTACACACACGCACGCGCACACACATCTCTCAAACCTAGAACCCATGTTACCTGGTGTAGGCAAACACCAGGCAGGTGCCCATGAGCGCCGCTGCTCTCTGACCCTGTGCTGGCCACGGCAATCAGGCAAAGGAAGTGACAACAAGAGGCAGAACTCGGGAGAGGATGGTTAGAAAGGGCTACATCTGCAGGAGTTTTGATACTATCCTTAGAGAACCAATGCTAAAACTGATCAACAATTTGAGAATCCAGAAAAGTAATAGGATACGAAATGAACATATAAAAGCCATTAGCCTAGATTTCAGCTTCTGGCAGAAGTAATAGCAGAGAGCAGAATCCCTCCCATCAGTGAAAATAAAAACACCAGAAATTAAGAGAATGAAAAGACCAGCCACAAACTGGAAGATAACATTTGCAAACCACATACCTAATAAAGGACTTGTATCCAAAATATACAAATAAATCTTAAAACTCAAACAACTTAAAAACAAGCCAATTAAAAAAGTGGGCAAACGTGCTGACTCCTAAAACTAGAAATCAGTAATAGAAGATAACTGGAAAAGTCCCACAATATGCATTTCTAAATAACACATGGGCCAGATAAGAAATCTCGAGAGAAATTTTCAAGTATTTTTAACTAAATAAAACTGAAAACACAACTTATCCAACTTCGTCAGGCAATGCTACAAGGGAAATGCGTAGCTTTGAGTGCACACATTAGAGAGAAGAAAGATCTAAAATCAATACTCTAAGCTCCCACCTTAGGAAATCAGAAAAAGAAAAGAAAAGCAAATCCAAAGTGAGCAACAGAAAGAAATAAGAATTAGAGCAGAAATTAATAAAATTTAAGAGAGGGAATCAATAGAGATCATTGACAAAACCAAAAGTTGGTTCTTTAAGAAGATCAGTAAAATCTAGTAAGCCTCTAGTTAGGCCAGCTAAGAAAAAAGAGGGAAAACACAGATTCTATCAAAAAAGAACCAGCACTCTGGTGTGGCTCAGTGGTTAGAGCAGGGGGTCCTCAAACTACGGCCCGCGGGCCACATGCAAATACAAATATTGTATTTGTTCCCATTTTGTCTGTTTTTTTAAAATACATTTTATTGATTTTTTTTACAGAGAGGAAGGGAGAGAGATAGAGATTAGAAACATCGATGAGAGAGAAACATCAATCAGCTGCCTCCTGCACACCTCCCACTGGGGATGTGCCCACAACCCAGGCACATGCCCTTGACCGGAATCGAACCCGGGACCCTTCAGTCCGCAGGCCGACGCTCTATCCACTGAGCCAAACTGGTTTCGGCCCGTTTTGTTTTTTTTTTACTTCAAAATAAGATATGTGCAGTGTGCATAGGAATTTGTTCATAGTTTTTTTTTAAACTACAGTCCGGCCCTCCAATGGTCTGAGGGACAGTGAACTGGCCCCCTGTTTAAAAAGTTTGAGGACCCCTGGTTAGAGTGTTGGACACAATACCATTTGTATTAGCACCCCCCAAATGAAATATTTAGATATAAATCTAAGAAAATATGTAAGAGATCTCTATGAGGAAAAATACAAAATTCTGATGGATAGAAATCAAAGACTAAATGAATGCAGAGACATTCCGAGACAGGGAGACTCACTATTGTCAGGATGACAGTTCTTCCCAACTTGGTCTGTAGATTTAATGCAGCCACAATCAAAATCCCAGGAAATAATTCCATGGATATTGACAAACTGATTCTAAAGTTTATACGGAGGCGCAAGACTCAGAGGAGGCAACAATTCAATACTGAAGAAAACAGTTAAGAGGACCGATGCTGCCCAACTTGGAGACTCACAAAACTATAGCGATCCCGACGGTATGGCACTGGCGAGAGGACACGCACACAGCGACGCACAGGAGCCGGAGACAGACCCACGGCTGCTCGCCTGGTCTCTGACGAAGGAGCCACGGCCACACGACGGAACGAAGAGTCTCTTCAACAAATGGCGCTGCAGCAAGTGGACATCACGTGCAAAAGTATGAACCTAGACGCAGACTTCACACTCCCCACAAGCATTGAGTGAAGGTGGCTCATAGGCCTGCCTGTGAGATGCCAAGCCCTACAGCTCCTAGGAGAAAACCTAGCTGACCTTGGGCCTGGGGGTCCTTTAGACAGAGCACTGAACACGTGGCCCACGAAAGAAATGATGAGCAAGCTGGGCTTCTTTTAAATTAACAACTTCTGTCTGCAAGAGGCAATGCCAAGAGAATGAGAAGACGAGCCACAGACGGAGGAAATGTTTCCAAAGGCTCATCTGATAAAAGATTGTTATCCAAAATGTACAAAGAATCTTAAAACTCAACAATATGAAAGCAAACCACCTGATTAAAATATGGGTCAGAAACCTTAACAGACACCCACCGAAGAAGACGCACTGACGGCAAACGGGCAAAGCGGAAGCTGCCCGCAGCGGACGGCACCGGAGACGCACGTTCACACCACCCGACTCCGCCACACCCACCAGAGGCCGGAGGGACGCTGACCACACCCCACGCTGGCGCCTCGCTCCTGCTGGTGGGGATGCTAAGTGTGTAGCTAGTTTGGCCTTTTCTTACAAAATTAAACATGTTCTCGCCATATGACCCAGCCACCGCTCTCCTTGGTATTTACCCAAAGGAGTTCAAAACCTATGTTCACACACAAATCTGTACACGTATGACAGCAGCTTTATTCATAATTGTCAAAATTTGGAAGCAACTGAGATGCTCTCCAGGAGGTAGGTAAATGGATAAAAACCGTGGTCCATCCAGACAGCGGACTATTACTCGGGGCTGAGAGAAATGAACTATCGAGACACATAGGAACCTTACACGCATGGGACTGAGTGAGAGAAGCCAGACTGACAAGGCTACACACGTGTGACTACAACTATGTCACATCCTGGAAAAGGTCACACTGTGGGACAGTGAAATGACCAGGGCTGCCAGGGCTGGGGAGGTGGGGCCACACCTGGACACCCGTGAACAAAAGCCAGGTGGGCCGTGGCTCGTCCTCAGCTGATGCAGGGAGCAGAGCAGGGCTGGCTGCTGGGGGTCTGGGAAGACGAGACACTAGCCCCCCGCCTCCAGGTGAAACAGGAAGAGAAAGAGGGGGCCAGGCAGCCAGAGCCAGGCACCCTCCCTGTTCTCCCCAAGAGGGCACCCTGGCCCACAGGCCCAGGTGAGGGCCCCTGAGCGGGGTGGGTGCAGGCATGTGTCTGCGTGTGGACACGTGCAAACACAGGCAGGCGTGTGGCAGCACCCGGTCCGCTTCATTGGCATCCACATCCGCTCTGCTCCTGTGGCCTCCCCTGTGCTGGGAGCGTGTTCTCTCCCCTCGGTGCTCACAACAGCATGCACCTTGCACAGTGGGACGGCCTGTCCTCGTCAGCTCGGTCCCTCCCTGCCCCAAGCAGCGACGTGCGCCCCCGGAGCCCCAGCGCCTGCACGCAGCGGGTGAGGCTGCTCAGTGTGGGTCTCGCGGACATGAGCGAGGGGGGGAAAGGGGATGGCAGCTCAGCAGGGACAGCAGGGCGTGGGGGACCGCCCCCCGCACCTCCCCTCCGCACCCGCAAGTTCTCGGCCGGGTGTCTGTGGCCTGGTCCTTAGCTGCTCCTGTGTGGTCTGTCCTCCTGGGACGGCAGCCCCACAGGGCAGCCCTGGCGCCCCCTGCGATGTCCCCAGCACCCTAGTGATTTGGCTGGGAACTTGCAGACGTTTTTGGAGGCAGGAGGACAGAGCCTAAGTGACAGACAGACGACAGGAGCAGTGCTCGCCTGCGGCACTAGGAGCAACGGGCGTCCAGGCACTGGTGCGGCCAGCAACGGCCCTCTCTCCGGGGGGCCACAGAGGCAGCTCTGTCCCCGGGCCGCTGCACGTGCAGAGAGCGAGGGACGCAGTGGGGCCTGCGAAGGTGGGCCTGCCCTGCTGGTTCGGGAGATACTCACTGGGCACAGCCGTGGTCTCCCCAGACGGGCCGGGCGGCGCCACTGGGACGTGCACAGCGGCACTGGGCTCTGAGGGCTGCGTGCCCATCCGAGTGACGTTCCGCTGGTTATCCGCATCCTCCGGCTGCTCCTCCGCCTTCTGCACGCAGGTGCTGGGCAGGGCGCGCACCAGGCCCACACCCATCGCGGCGCCGGCCTCCAGGTCACAGTGTGGCTCCCTGCAACCCAAGGCCCAGCACAGGTTGGAAAGGAGGAAGGCAGGCGGGAGTCAAAGGGCCCGGGCAGGAGGGTCTACACTACACAGCGCTCCCCAGTCCCTGGAACTGGGGAGTCAACGTGTCCCAAACCAGCCCCAGCCACTTCCCCCCAGGCCAGTGACGGCGAACCTGTGACACGCGTGTCAGAGGTGACACGCGAACTCATTTTTTTGGTTGATTTTTCTTTGTTAAATGGCATTTAAATATGTAAAATAAATATCAAAAATATAAGTCTTTGTTTTACTATGGTTGCAAATATCAAAAAATTTCTATATGTGACACGGCACCAGAGTTAAGTTAGGGTTTTTCAAAATGCTGACACGCCGAGCTCAGAAGGTTCGCCATCACCTAAGCCTCTCTTCCTCCCGGAGCCTTAAAACGACGCCTGCCATTCCCAGAGGTGCCCTCCCGTCACCCCGCAGGCAGGGTCGGCACCGCCAGAGGGGGCGTGGCCGAGTGGCCCCCCTGCGCTCACTCACTGGGGCTGGAGGTCCCGCGGCTCCTTGTCCTTGTCCTTGTCCTCCGCCTCGCCCTCCTTCTCCACAGCCTCCTCGGGTACGGGCGGCGCCTTGTGCCGCGCCCGGTGCCTCCGCGCTGGCTCCTCGCTGCTCTCCGCCTCCCGGGGACCGACCCGGGAACCACGGAGCCGGGATAGCCGCTCGCCCCTGGCTCCAAGATCAGCGTCGTCCTTACCCTAGCCCCCGAGTCGCTACGTAACGTGACGCCAGGGTATCGATAAGTGGACTCCTCTGAGGAACTATGACCTGGGTCTCGGCTGTAATTACTGAAAAAATCATGAGAGAAAGAAGAAGAGTATAAGTCAATCTGTATACAAGTAAAGAGAAGAAGTAGGAAGGAAGAAAAGATGAATCGCAATGTAATTACAGTAAATAAAAAGATATTATTTGATACAGATAAGAATAGAGGGAGTTGGCGCGACATACGTGGACGAAATATGAGGCAAGAGAAAGCGATGTAGGTATGTGACACGACCCCATAATTTGCATTA